TGGTACATACAACGAGCATACGAGTCCCGTGCCAAAAGCTCGTAAACCAAGATGCTGCTACCTCGATCTACTGATCTGAATTGGGGGGGATTTTATGAGCTCACAGCCCAATAAGTAATAAATTTAAGCTATAAACTTGGGTTCTAAAACCTTTAGATTTATCCACACAAAAGGCATAAGACACAGCAGAATCAAATCACATAATATTTTAATTCTCACTATTTAAATAATAGCTTAATATCTCAAATCATAAGTACAAATGTCAAGAAATAATCAATGACATTTAAATTGAGTTCATATACTAAAATCATATGCTCACAAATACGATGTCACAAGCGCAATGCATAAAATCGAAAATCACACAATTCTATGGAGTCCACTGAGGTGTACTAGCAACACTGTACCGGAACTAATCACGGTACTAACCCTACTGCGCAGAGGTCCACTAAATGCCCCGAAGGGTCCACTGAATACCCCAAGCTTTAAGCTTAGGTCCCACTTACTCCATAACCACAAACACATACGCATGTCAAACAAATTCATAATATGTCCAAAATAATATTAGGACTTTCTATTGAAAGATATCAAAGCATAATGCGTGAACAGTAATCGTGAACAGTAATTCACAAATAGTACAATTTACTTATAATTCCTGCCGTCAAAATTCACACCCAAATCAAACAATAAAAAGGACTAACTCATTATCTTTCCCATATAAGCTCCAAAATTAAGGATATTTCTAATAAAAGTTTAATACCCAAAAATCTTATAAACCAAAGGATTAAGGTCAAATCTCACCAATTTAAACTACCTAAAACTCTAATCCAAAATTCATAACTAAAACTTATACTTACCTAACAAAAGCACCTTAACGTTGGTTAGAGAAAGAAGGAAGAAAACGTTGGTTAGAGAAAGAAGGAAGAAAAGGATGTAGGTGGAAGAGGAAGGCATAAGAAAACAAAATGGGGACTTTTGGGAGCCTTCTGGAGGCTTATTCAAGCTTCCACCGACAAAGAAAAAAAACTTGGTTAAGACAATGCCATGTGTTAAGTAAAATTGGGATAATTAAGTTATGGTTATTCAACTTCTACTAAGTTTTACTTAAAACCCCCAAACTTTAAACTCAATCAATTTAATCCCTAAAACTATAAACTAAAGGACACTAATTTTTAAATTATTCACTAATGTATGTGGGGTGTTACAGTCAGCACTGATGGAGTTCAAGACATGGAAAAAGAACATAGAGCAGAAACCAGGAAGAAGAGAATGATAAACATAGGAAACATTGACATTGTCTCCTCATTCATTGAGTCTTCAATATATTGGCAGCCATGCCTTAATGATTCATTGTTCATGGTGGTCAAACCTTTTCTATCAAGGGTTATATTAAAAAGCAACATCACATGGACTTTCACCTTGTTGGAGTTGTGGTGTCAAAGCTGCCACACAGTGCCAGCAAATAAAAAAAACTGAGAGCTGCACCAACAGTACAGTAGCAACCACATGGAGTTGCACAAATTAGTCAATGCGCGTTAGGTACAAATATTTATTGCACTAGGTAGAAATTAGCATTTATGTAGTATGAGGATTAGGGTGATCTTGAGGACCTTTCAGAGTGATTTTGAGAGAATACCAAAAAAAAAAAAAAAACACTAGAGAAAACCACCTTTGTATGGATTTCAGTAGGTTTTGTTGTGAAATCCCTCTTCCATTTTTAGCCAAATCATACAGCGAGTGATGAAGGCATATGGTAGGCCCACTATAGCTCAAGATCAAGCATAGTGAGGAGTTGGTGTGGAGAGGCAAGCTGGACCAACAAACAAATTAAAGCTGTCCATGGCATCTACAGCCAGCAGTCCAAAGGGAAAAAGAATGTTCAATGAAGGTGCAACCTAAGAAAGGAAGAAAACTCAGAGCATGCATCAAGTCTTGTCCACCATAAAGTTGAATACGACCTGTGACCCCAAGGAAGCTGTAGATGGAAATGAAAAACAAAGAAAACTGAGCTAACTTACAGAAAAGCTCAATAAAGATCCAAGGAAGGACAAGTTGCTGAAAATGCTTAAAGCTCCAAGAATTTGTTAAAGCAACAAATCCAAGCCAGATGAAGCTGCATTGTAGGAGGAGCTAAAATGTTTATACAAGCTTTAACACCAAGGTGGAGTGTTGGAGTGGTGGTGTCAAAGCTGCAA